ACCTTGTCAATGCACTGCTTATCCGTGAGTTGTGCCTTCAAAACCTTGTGAATAATAGAAGGTGTAACTACCATATAAGCCATGAAAGCATCCTACAACTCATCCACTATCCTCAAAGCATTCCACTCCATAATGAACAGAGCAGAAAGACTGCCAACAGGTCGTCGACTGAGTGCATCTGCCACCACACTCGTTTTCCCTGGATGGTACTGTATAGAGAAATGATAGTCTTTCACAAACTCCAACCATCTGCGCTATTTCATATTCAACTCGCGCTGAGTAAACAAGTACTACAAACTCTTGTGATCGCTAAATAACCTGAAGGACTCACCCAACAGATAATGCCTCCAAATACGTAAGGCAAAGACCACAGCTGCCAACTCCAAATCATGTGTTGGATAATCAAGCTCGTGATGCTTAAGCTTCCGAGATCCATACGAAATCGGTCGCTCCTCCTACATCAAAACACATCCAAGAACCTGCAAAGAAGCATCCGTGTAAACCAAATACTCTATTCCGCTCTGTGGGGTAGACAAAACCGGTGCAGAAGTCAACGTAGTCTTCAACTCATCAAAAGCTTTCTGACAATGTTCATCCCATATGAACCGTACACCCTGCTTAGTCAGCTGAGTGAGTGGTCTCGCTATGTTTGAGAACACTTGAATGAACCTCCTGTAATATCCTGCCAAACCGAGGAAACTCCGAATCTCAGTAGGTGATGCAGGCTGTCCCCACTCAACCACTGCTGAAACTTTAGCTGGATCCACCGCTATTCCCTTTTCTGACACCACGTGACCCAGAAACTTCACCTCCCGCTGCCAAAATTCATACTTCTCGAACTTAGCATACAACTGGTGTTCACGAAGCGTCTACAAGACTATCCAAAGATGTCTAACATGATCGTCCTCAGACCTCGAGTAAATCAAAATGTCATCTATAAAGATAATGACAAATTGATCTAAGTAAGCCCTAAAGACTCTGTTCATTAAATCCATGAAAACCGCTGGTGCATTAGTCAACCCGAACGGCATCACCCGAAACTCATAAGATCCATATCTAGTGAGAAACGCTGTCCTCGGAACATCCTGCTCCTTAACTCGAAGTTAATGATATCCAGACCGTAGATCAATCTTAGAGAAATAAGTAGCTCCCTTCAACTGATCAAACAAGTCATCAATCCTGGGCAAAAGATACTTGTTACGAATAGTAACCTTGTTCAACTCCCTGTAATCTATACACAGGCGGAGCGAACCATCCTTCTTCTTCACAAATAACAATGGCGCTCCCCAGGGTGATGTACTCCTACGAATGAAACCCTGGCTGAGTAATTGTTGAATCTGATCTCTCAGCTCCCTCATCTCCACTGGTGCCATCCTGTATGGTGCCCTAGCAATAGGTGTAGTGCCTGGAGCTAAATCAATAACAAAGTCAATCTCGCGACTAGGTGGTAACCCGGAATGTCCTGAAATACATCCGGGAAATCCTGTACAATCGGTATGTTATCCAATGATACAGTAGTCCCCTCCTCTGTGTCCTTCTCCATATTAAACAAATAGGTGCTAGTGACCCCGCTAGAATGCGGCATAACAACTACATACATGTCCTGACCAGGTATGGTGAAAATAACTGACCTATCAAAATAATTAACTTGGGCATGGTAGTGAGACAACCAATCCATTCCAAGTATCACATCATAAGTGTGCATATTCAGGACCAATAGATTGGCTAGAAATCTGAGTCCACCAATATCTAGTGTCACGGGCCCATCACTCTCATAAAGAATGGCTGTATCGTCCAACGGTGTAGAAATACCCTGAGGTCTACTGCATACCCGAGTCATCATCCCAGACAAAGCAACAAAAGTCCTAGCTACAAATGAGTGTGTAACACTCGTATTAAACAAAACACGTCCAAGTAAACTATGAATAGGAAACTTACCCTCAACAGCCTGAGGTGCTTGCATATCCTGTGGCTTAGGTTTGTACACCCTGCCATAATATAACTACTACGGTGCCTGACCCTGAAGCTGCGGCGGTGCTGGTAAAGCCGGATATGTCTGTCCCTGAATCCGTGGAACCTGTGGAGCTGGTAAAGGCACTGGTGCCCTCTGTCCCTGCTGCACATATTGTCCCTGTCCTTATCTCTGTTCCTGTCTGACTGTAGGATACTGCCTGGAAGTGTGACCATACTCCCCACAAGTATAGCAACTACCCTGGAAAGTACCGAACCACAAGCAGGACAGGTGCCACATCCTTGGGAGCATCTGAACCACCTTTGTACTTCTTCCAAGGCTGTTGTCCCTGGAATTTACCCTTGTCATTCTGTCGGTGTCCGTTCCCATTCCCTTTCTCAGCTGATTGATTAGTAGAGTCTATGTCACCCCGCTTCTCAACCTTGGCCTGTCTAATGTCCACTATCAACTGATATTGCTGTAGAGCGGCGTCTACCACCTGAGCATAGGTAGTATAGGCTGGACTACCTGTAATAGCTCTCTTGATAGACCACATCAGTCCCTTGATGAAACTGTTGCGCTTCTTCTCCTCGGTATCCACCTCTTTTGGTGCAAAAAGAGACAAGCGTGTGAACTGCTGCTCATACTCCACTACTGTCATGTTCCCCTGCTGCAGATTAAGAAACTCAGTCTTCATAGCTGCCCTGACTGCATAAGGGAAGTACTTCTCTTCAAAGCGTGCACTGAACTCATCATAAGTCAATACCATCCTCTCTTCTATGGTGGTAACTGACTCCCACCACTGCAGTGCATCCCCAACTAGCTTGAAAGTAGCAAGCATCTGCTTTTGAACCTCCGTGCACTGAACCAAGCGAAGATGTCGCTCTAGGGGCAGAGCTGAGGGGGGGCCGGAGGGGGCCATGCCCCCCCCCCCCCCCCCCCTAAAAAAAGAGAGATTTTTTTTTAGTATATGCTAAATACAGCTTTGAAAAAAATAGCAAAGGTAATTTTATGTTTGGCCCCCCCACAGTCCCATCCAAAAAAAGAAAAAAGTTGACTTAACAAATATAATATACATATATGATATATATATATATATATATATATATATATATAAGATGCTGATGATTGATGTAGCATCGGGAATCAAATAATAAGTATCATTTTTATATTTTTATAATGGAAAGATAAAAGTAAAACATCTTTTTACTTTCCTAAAACAAATACAAAGAGTGAAACAGAGAGACCACGAAAAGTAGAGAACAAAAGGAGAAAAAAAAAAAAAAAAGAGGCAGCAGCGACAGGTTTGCAACTCATCTTGAATCTTTGATCCATCAACGATTTATCCACAGATCAATTAAAGTAATTGAATAAGAATATGTAAGTTACTAATTTCCTCTCTATTTTTTTTTAACTTTAATCTTTTAAGCATTTTTTATTATTGAAAACACTAATTATTTTTTTTTTCAAATACTCTTCTATGCATTATTTCTATAGGTAATATAAATTATTAGTTATGTAACAATGTAAAATAAACAATCAATTAAAATTATTAAACAAAATTTCGTTTTGTCATTTTTCAAATTATACTTTCCAATTTTCCCAAATACTTCAATTTTTGAAGTGTTTCTAAAATTCTAATACTATGAACTATAAATAATCAAGTGACTTAAGTCTATCATGGTTCATTAATTTGATTGCATAATCATAAAATCTTGGACTCTTGAAATCAAATGTGAGTAAAGAATAAGTTACAGTCTTGAATTCCATACATGTATTTTTTTTTATTTTTTTTCAAAAAAATCAACATTTATTCTAATGTTGCAGTGCTTACTTAATTGTGTAGTTGGAAACTTGGAAGGATTGGTTCAATTGGAGTCTTACACTCTTACTCATATATTGGTGGTTGGAGAATATTGGTGTAAAGTACTGCTGAATTAGAGGCACCACTTCTGAATTTTTCTCTTTATATAATTATACTATTAATTGATAATTGAAAATAATGAAAGATTGATAGTAATAATGTTATTATAATATTACACATGTTGTGTTTCAGTTTTTGCTTGACTATTAATTATATATTTTTTGGTTATAAATTAAAATTTTATTTGTTTAATTAAAAGTGATTTAAATTTTAGCTTAAATCACTCTTGTGTTTGTTAGGGAAGTTTGATAAAAAGATTCTTTAAATAACTCATTGTTAGATTAATTTTCAGGTCAATTGGTTACTTTGGAAGCGTAGGCCTAGGTATAGTGTTATACAATGGGCAAGCCACCAAAAACTATTGACACGTTCTTTAAAAGAAAAAAACATCGATAAATCAAATGATGATGTAGCTTCCTCTTCTAATCTTGATGATTCAGTTCTTGAGAACCCACATCCTCCAAAATATCCTCGAGTTCTTGAGAACCCACATCCTCCAAAATATCCTTGAGTTGAATATACACAGGTTGATTCTGCCATTTTAGAACGTGATCCGGGATTGCGTCGTCAAATATGGGAATATCCTATTGGCCAACAAGATGAAATTCGTCGAGCTTATATCAATGCGAAACCATATCAAATTATTCTTTCAGAGTATCCCCGTTCTGGATCGGCAAAACATCTCCGTCGGTTTCAATTATCTTGGTTCAAATTATTTCGTTCTTGGTTAGAGTATTCTCCTACAAAGGATGCTGCATTTTGTTTACCTTGCTTTCTTTTTGGAAAGAAACCAACAAAGCATCCCGAAACCAATGCATTCACCCTTGAAGGATTTCGAAATTGGAAGAAAGTTAACACTGGAAAGAATTGTGCTTTCTTAAATCATATTGGAGAAGGTCCTTGTTCACCTCACAACATTGCCGAGAGATCGTGCAAAGATTTAATGTATCAACCTTGTCATATTGATAAAGTGATGGAAAAACAAACTTCAGAACAAAATTCAAATAACCAATTGAGACTGAAAACTTCAGTTGATGCGGTTTGGTGGCTTACACATTTCAAGCTTGTGCTTTTAGAAGGCATGATGAATGCCCCGAATCAAGAAATAGGGGCAATTTTATTGAAATGGTAAAGATTTTGGCAACATATAATGATGATGTTGCTAAACTTGTTCTAGAAAATGCTCCAAAAAATGCCAAGTATACCTCACCACAAATTCAAAAGGAAATTTTGCATGTTCTTGCTAGAAAAGTGAGAAGTACGATTCGTGAAGATATTGGAGATGCCAAGTTTTGTATTCTTGTTGATGAAGTACGTGATGATTATAAGAGAGAACAAATGGCTCTTGTTCTAAGATTTGTTGACAGAGATGGTTTTTTACAAGAACGTTTCTTTAATATTGTGCATGTTAAAGATACAACTTCATTGACTTTGAAAAATGCGTTTTCTACAGTTCTCTCTCATTATAATCTTAGTGTTCAGGATCTTCAAGGTCAAGGTTATGATGGTGCTAGCAATATGCGCGGAGCATGGAATGGCTTGCAAGCATTATTTCTTAATGATTGCCCTTATGCATATTATGTGCATTGTTTGGCTCACCGACTACAACTAGCATTAGTTGCATCATCTAGAGAAGTTATCCATGTCTATCAATTCTTTTCAAAATTAAACTTCATTATCAATATCATTGGAGCTTCTTGCAAACGAAATGATGAATTACAATCTGCTCAAGTTGCTGAAATTGCCCATTTGATAGCTCTTGATGAAATTGAGACTGGTAGAGGAGCTAATCAGATTGGTTCCTTGCAACGACCTGGGAATACTCATTGGAGCTCTCATTTTGATTCTGTTTGTAACTTAATCAGGTTGTTTGGTCCTACATGTTCAGTTCTTCGAAGCATCATTAAAGATGGATCCACTTGCTTCCAATAGGGGGATGTCGATTCTGCTTTTGATATTATTACATCATTTGAGTTTGTGTTTATTTTGCATTTGGTGAAAGATATTATGGGAGCAAGTAATATCCTTTGTGAAGCTTTGCAACAAAAATCTCAAGACATCCTAAATGCTATGCATTTGGTTTCGACTACTAAAAATATCATTCTAAAATTGAGAGAAGATGGATGGAACAACCTACTTGGGGTTGTTAAATCATTTTATGAGCGTCATAACATAAATGTGCCTAATATGAGTGCTCCTTATACAAAAGGTAAGGGTCGACCACATCACCCATAAGAAAATATTACACTTGAGCACCACTATCGGATTGATATATTCAATGGCACAATTGATTCACAATTGCAGGAGTTGAATAACAGATTTAGCGAAAAGGTAGTGGAACTAATTGTCCTAAGTTCTGCTTTGGATCCTAGAGATGGTTACAAGTTATTTAAAATTGATGACATTTGCAAGCTTGCAAATAATTTTTATCCTCAAGATTTCATAGACCAAGAGACGATTATGTTGAGATTTCAATTGCAACATAATGAGATTGAAGTACCTCACCATCCACATTTCTAAAATATGACAACAATTTTTAAACTATGTAGAGGATTAGTGGAAACAAAGAAGTCAGATGTGTATTATTTGATTGATAGATTGATTCGTCTTGTCTTAACTCTTCCAGTTTCCACGGCAACTACAGAAAAGGCATTTTCAACTATGAAAAATGTCAAAACCAAACTTAGCAATAAGATGGAGGATGAGTTTCTTGCAGATTACTTAAGTATCAACATTGAAAAAGAAATTGCTGGGACTTTTAGTTCAGATTCGATAATAGATGATTTTTGTTCTTTGAAACATCGTCGAGCTCAACTTTTGTAGTAGATATTTGGTACGTTTGGTTTATTTTTGTTCATATCTATGTCATATTTGACTAGATATAGCCAATTTTTTTTTGTTTTTGTAAACAAATTAGCTAAAGTTTGACTAGATATATTTTTGTATGAACGTTATTTATAATAGAAAGTTTTTGGCTTAAAATAGTCGTATATTAGATGATAATATTGCTAATAGTTTCGCCCCCCCCCCCCCCCCCCCCCCGCGTCATAGAATCCTGGCTCCGCCCCTGTGTCGCTCGATGTCCTGTTTCCACTGGTGAGCTACTCTCGCATCGGTGGAGCCTGTGAACTCAGGTGGACTCCCCTCTGTGAAAGAGCTCCTGGCATTCTCCCAAGTATTAGTCTGAACAACCGGTACTTGTAACGGTGCCGGCTGTATCTGAGGCTGATTCCGAAGTGCAGCTGTTACCCCTACCTCTATAGCCCGAGCAATGAGGTCATTGATGTGAGGAGGAAACTCTGGATCTTCTCCTTAATCCCGAGTCTACTGAACGTCCTCCTGCTCTGCATGGAACTGACCATCATCCTGAAACTCTGGCATATGCTGCTCTTCCTGACGCCGCAGGCGTTCCTGTTGCCTACGTGCCACTCTCCTCTATCAACTGTTCATCTGTCCTCTTCTAGCGTTAACCATGCTGTTAACAAAGTAAGACAGATATCAGTACGTGTTTAAACGAACCGTAAAGGAATACAATGAATCCTAAACTTAAGCTCTAATCAAGAGAAAACGCTACGCGGAAGTTTTAATACGAAACATCCTAGAGACACTTGAACCTGGAGTGCTCTGATACCAACTGTGATACCCCTCGGATCCGAGACGCGGGTTGATCAGGCCCAGGCCCAAACCCGAGGGAATATCAAACAATTAAAGTATTATGTAACGAACACGAATGACAAAATGAAATAAGAATAAATATTAAAAGCTGAAATGAATACTAATATGGAATCCTCAACTGATAAAACTTTATAAAATCCAACATTCAAAACCTCCATGATTACAACTCGGGAATCCATCTAGTGGACCCCTAAATAAAATCCCAACTGAACTGAAAACTAAAAGTAAATAAAACTGAAAACATCATGAGAAGTCCGACGTAATCTGACGAATGGAAATTGTCCTCAAACAGCACGATCAAGCTCTAAGGCTGGAATCGTCCTGTACCTGAAAAGAATAATTGAAGAGTGGGTCAGACCCACGAGCAAGTTTTAAACTAACTACAATCCATACAGTGACTCGATACATAGATACACCGTACATACCTCACAATATCTATTTAGTCCATACATATATATATCCACACTAAGGGACATTCACTGGACTAAAATAGGGGTCTTAACCTGAACAGAAGGCAACATGCGAAAACGCACCCAAGGGTGGGCATCAGTACCTAGACTTAACAGGGTACACATACCTACTATATCCAGCTACGCATCCACTGCATATATGTACCCTTACCAACGACTCTGAGACTCAAGCTCATATCGTGGTACCATAATCATATATCTAGAATTCGTCCAAAACCATAGTATATCATTCAATTATTTATTGAGGAGACATACAAAACATACTAGTTAGTCAGTCAACTTATTTAGTTGATATGACTTAACCACCATCCATTAATCTAGGAAGCCATTCAACTTAATCACAGTTGATCTGACTTAGTCACAGTTAGGATTCAATATTTTTCAATCCATTCCTTTAATCCGATAGGTTAGGTTTAAGCGTTTTGAGCTAAACCATCCCTAATATGTCACCGTCCCATACCGGTACATACAATCCTCCATATTCATATAAATTACGACACATAAATATTAAGCTAGTAATTTACAATCCAAACCAATATCCAAATCATTGCAGAAAGATGTTTAAAGGTTCAGCAATTTAAATCCAAGAGTTAAACCATGTATTGTTTAACAGTTCAACAACTAACATCCAGAGCATGAACAGATCAGTTTTAATAAATCAACAACTCTATCATGCATATAAATAAGTTTTAAAATCATACTATTGTCCAAGAAATTGCTAAAATTAATTCTAGCAATTCAGTTCATTTTATTCATCTATAGCATGCTAGGTTACATCTTTGTATACTGTTTTATTGTTTTAGCACCGAGCCATAAACTATGCTACAAGTCCAATTTTTTAATTAAAAGACTCCCTTATACATCTAAAATTTAATTTAGAATCATATTATAGCATCCTAAATTGTCAAATTAAAATTAGACAAATTAACTTTCTTCCAGCAGTTAACCGCGCACAAGTTGTTAAATAACGCACTGTTAATTCCATTAATACAAAGAGGGTATTTTATGCAATACAAGACCTTAATTACATCCTAAATTAATTATTGAAAACCCCATTAAAGTTTTAAAACTGTTCAGAAACTCCAAGTGCCCAAACAGTAGCTGAAAACTTACAATACGCATCAAAATGGAAAGAGCCTGCTCTTAAAAAAAAATAGAGCAGGCTCAAACCAACATTGAGCCGGTTCCAAAAATTTTTGGAGTAGGCTCAAAGTGCTTGGAGCCTCCTCCAAAACACTTTGGAGCCGCCTCCAAAAAGGGGAGCCCACTGTTCCGTTTCTTTCTTCATTTCCGATGATCTACTTCGACCTCAGCCACTTTCTACCCTTCAGTTGGTTTCTAAAACTAATCCTAAGGGTCTTATTAATACCAAATAGCATCCCAATGGTTTAATAAGAACAATTGGAATTAAATACAAAGATTAAATTTGCTACCGAACTAAACATGCTTTAGGAACAAACTGAAACTATTTTGCAACAACAGTTCCATTCCAGCCCCTCTGTTCCTCATTAAAACTGAACCTAAGATCTTATATCATTCCATTAGCATCCCCATGGTTCGTTTATAGAAGATGGAAGCAAGTACAGTAACAAAAATCACAACAGAACTTAACATGCCTTATGGAACAAAACCGGAAGTAGACATGCACAAATTGTAAGCAGATTTGATTTTAATACAAACAGATCATCAATATAGCATATACTAAACACGTAAATCCCAATTACTGATTAATTAAAACCCTAGAGGCTATCTAGGTGCACAGAACACGAGCCAAAGGGAAGGAGAAAGAAAATAACTTGCCTGCAATTTGGGTCCCAAAACTTTGTTACCGTCTTTTTAATTTTTTGGCAAACATTGACCACCTTCAAGCCTCATATGGTTTTGGTTTAATCCACCACAACTCTCCCTTGGTCCTCTCTGTTCTCCTCCAAAGCCTTGTTCTGTTTTCTCTCGCTCAGTTCTCTCACAAGACTCTGTTATCTCTATATCTTTGGTACGTGAATAGGGGTTGTGTATTCTCAAAACCATAAGTTGACGTAATGTTCTATATATAGAGAGACTTAACTAAACCCTATTCCCTGTATATGTAGAAACAGAGCCCTAATCCTAATCCTTGTCGGCCCATAACAAAACCGATGTTTTGAAACAGTGACGACTACACATGTGAATTCCATTCTACAATTAAAACTATAACCTAATTAAATAAAATAAAACATTTAACTTAATCCAATTAAAATAAACCATGAAATTAAAATAAATATACAAATAAAATAATCAACCAATTTAAATAAAATAATTAATGAATTAAAGCAAAACAAAATCCAATTAAAACAACCATTAAATAAACACACAAACAAATAACCAATTAAATAAAATAAAAATGCAATTAAATAATTAAATAAATATCAGGACTATCCTTTTAAAATTAGGGGTATTACAATTGGTCTAGGAATGATTGTTAATTTAATCATTGTTTAATAGTTTTGAATTTAATGAACCTAGTAATAGATGTGACTAATGTATTATATATATATATATATATATATATATATATATATATATATATATATATATGCGTATCATGGTGTACTAAAGATAAAAGTTTTATTAGGATTGTTTTTTGTCAGAGATGATCTTTTTATTGGTTTTTAGAGGCCTGGTAGAGAGAGTTTGCTTGTAGAGTTTAACCCGCGATTTGTTTTTCAGGTTATTAGAAGTTAAAGTCTCAAGGTTGAGGATCCGCAGCTGAAGGACTTATCCATTCTTTCCTCTTATTTCAATGTAAGATATTTTCTTATTGTTAGATGATAGACTTAATTTAGAGTTCACTGGATTATTAAATTATGTTCAAGGGTCCTTGATTTATGGGATTCCCGAGTTATAACTTTTGAAGAATTATTAATGAAAATTTTTATTTAATAGATTTTCCTTCAGCGAGTTATTTATTTTTTTAATTTTTTTTTTTTGTACTCTGTGCTTGTTAAATACTTTAATTGTTTTAATATCCCTTAATTTTGGGCACGAATTTGATCAACCCGTGTTCCGAAATTAGGGGGTATCACATGAGCCAATCTCCGTTTCACCACCAATTGGGAATTCAAAAATTGAGCATTTTTAGGGCTCTTTCACCAATTTGAGGTAAGGGTGCTCTAATACACATATTCTTTGGCATTAGTGAGTTTTCCCCCTTTTAATTTGTTAATAAGCATGCTTAACTTGATTATTTTGTTTATGGCTTTGAGAATTTTATATATTAATGTGTTTCTTAAGCTGAAAATACATTTTATTTGTTATGATGTGATGAAGTATGCTATGCTAAAATTATTGGATGACATGTATGTAAATAACTATTGAGATTTAATTTTTGTGAAATAATGAGATGATCCCTTGAAAATTTTCTTGAGAGCATGGGGTTAGACATTGTTATAGTTGAATGTAAATTATGGAAAATTAAGTATATTTATGGTTTAGTATGGTATAAGGCATTCATGCATTTCATTAGGAAGACGAAGAAAGGGGAAAAATGTTTTGAAAAGCAAGAAAATCTTTTTTGGGAAATGTTTTGAAAATGGGTTGTGAAAACTCGGGTGCCTAAGGATTGCCTAGTGGTTCGTGGTGTTAATGTGATCTAGAGGGAACTAGAGAGAGACCCTAGTATGGTTGAGCTACCTAGGCTTA